CAGAAACAGTGAAGCGTAAACTTAACAAGAACTTGGCTTACCTTGGAATCTACAAGGAGAGAAAGCGAGTGGAAACCATCAAATTCTCTAACCAAGAAAAAAGCTTCGCTTCAAATTCCGCGTCTACTAAACACGATCTCAATTTCTAACTTTGTCTTGAATCAATTCTTTGAACTCGCCGGCCGCGCTGTTGTGACCGATACATGACCACAATCATAAATACCTCTCTCAGCTTTCATCTACGTGTTAGCAAACGCCCATAGGCAAAATACTAAATATTTAAAATGCGAAACACATTAGTAGCAAAATGGCCGATCTCAATTTTAGAGGTCTTCGGAACTCGCACCCAGGCTCTCCCGAATATCGGACCAAAACTTACACCTTTCTGGTCCCCTCTAAAACCTGCCAAACATGAGCTGAATACTCTTTGACAAAAACAGTGATAAGCAGGGGAGGAAGGGGAAAATTGTTTAATCCAAGTTCAATGAATAAATAAATTAGAATGGAGTGAGTGAGTGAGTGAGTGAGCGCCATCAAAGTGCTTGCAAAGGCCCATAGATGACGTCATCCATGAACTAAAAGTGAGAAAACAATTGATTGTTTTTATGATTAAGATTCTTATTTGACTGCGTGATTGAATATTTCAGCTACAGAAGGTTCAAGTAGCGCCAGTACTGTGAACGACTGCTACACATTCCATGACGTTGACAGTACATGGAACGAGGCCCGTGACGCGTGTCGTGACATGGGAGCTCACCTGGTTACCATGGAAACGACCGACGAGTGGAAGAAAGTCAAGGGCTACCTAAAACAAAAAGTGAAGGAGACCGGAAGTTACACTCACTATTACATTGGACTCCGTAAAGAAAGTGGAATGTGGAAATGGACCGAGGCAGGGTCTCCTGGTGTCACTGTGGCCACAGATGACAGCCGCTGGCAGCGCGGTCAGCCCTCTAAAGGTCCCTTGGCAGAACCTTGTGGGGAAATCTGGTATCCCGATTCAGGGACCCAAGGGCACTTTAATGATATTGTGTGCAATCGCAAAGAGGGGGGTAAAGGACTGACGTCAAAACGTGGATACATCTGTGAAAATTATTAAAGATTTCTTTAAACCAAAATTAACTGTGAGTTCATCTTACTTATTACTTTAATTGTTTTAAATCACTATTAGAAGGTGTAAACTGTAAGCAAGATGAAACAACTAGATTACAAAGGAACAATGGTTTCTACATCTGTAATGTTTAAAACCATTAATTTTCGGATTAAGTTAATAGCATTTGGATTTTCTTTATTTGTACTCATTGGCCAAGAAAGCGGCGCAAGTGTCAACTTTTCTATGGTGGTAACGTCATCTATAGCAGCGGATTTCCTAGAGTATTGAACCAATATTTTAAACATGTGACCAAGAACATTAGCTAAGGCCAGAACCAATTCGGTGGAGTATCATAATGGAAGTAAATTCCAGTCCAAAGTCAGATCTGGAAGAGAAAATGATCTGGGAACTTCAGATGCGTTTCAAGCTGACGATGAAATAATAATCATAATATCCCGAGTGCTTGAGGAAAATCCAGTAAGGAATCCCCCCCCCTTCCCCCCCCAAAAAAGAATCAACCAACGTCTGACGTTGGCAACGAATAGAGGATCTGGTCGTAACCCAACTTATCATCTGTGACGGGTAAATKTTTATGGATTGCGGCGAAAAAATGATTGATTTATTTGTCATTTATCCATCCCTAAAATTTGATGTTGTTTATTTTGTTTTATTCTTCAAAGCCTCGGCGAGGGAAAGTTTCTGTTATATTTAATATCCCTTATAACCAATATACTTGTAAAAAATCCTCGGTGCAACGCACAAATGTTGGAATTATTGACTTGGCAATAAAAATTTTGTTTTCCCTTGCTAACTTATACTAGTTGGTCCTACTTATACAAAGCTTTCGAGTGCTTTACGGTGGTTAACGGTTTACCGCGGTATGTCCTCGAATCACTTGTATTTTTCGGCATAGACACGAACCTCAAGGTGGCTCAAAACAGTTCCAACACTTAAATGTTGATGGGTCGTTTTAACTACTCTTTATCACTTGATGCTACAATCATGGTATCAAAAAACTGCCCAATCATTGATAAACGTTGTTATCATTTTCGTGACGCGATAGGTTACCATAGCAACAGTATTACCTCCTAAAAACAACCTTAATTACAGCTTTAGGGACTTATAATTCAAAAACGGCAGGGTGAAATTTTTTTATATTATCGACTTTTCAAAATTTTCGAAAATTTAAGGTGGCTCTGAACCTTACCTACAGAATTTTTTTAGATTTTGCCAAAAGTTACGTCTTATCATGCCTATCAAAAGTTGATTACTGCGCAGAGCATCCCGCAAAATTAGAGAGTGCACATAAACAAAGTGGTGGCTTTTTCTAAACGGCTTTGCTTGTGAGAGAGACAAATCATCGTTTTCTCGGAAACGAGTACCAGGACCTAATGATTTTTCATTTGGTTTGAATGCAGCGATCATCTTCTTTCTATACGGAGATTATAAACCAATTTCTTTTGCAGATTAAAAAAAATATCACTGAAAATGAGAGCTTAGCTAGCACTCGTAAAAGATAATATGTGGCTCAAGAACACTGCGTGCTTGAAACATATTGAGTCCTTGTCGACGAAATAACAGCACCTTTATCATGAAACGTACATGAAATTGCTCGTTTGCATTGATGCAATACATCCGTTGTTATGTTTTTTTTCTCGCTTAACTTTCTCCCTATTTTTCTGCTCTCACAAAGCGTAAAGTGAATGGTTCGATTCAAATATAAACGTTTTTGAGAGCTGATAATTTAAGGAATTATGGGGCTTACTGAAGGTCCTCCTGCTCCTAAACGAATACCGGTATCGCTATTTTTTTATTTCAAAAAGTAAGTTACCTTGATATAAACAGCCAACAGCTAAAGTTTGAAAGAAAAGCTTTTGTGAGGTCTATTTCGATGGATTTACCTTAAATTCAGATTTTTTCCCCCCGGGTATCCCGTCCACTACATGTGAAAGGTGACTCAAAATAGTTTCCAGTACAGCTCAGGACTTTCCAAGCCGTAGATTTTGATGAGCCATTATACCCACTCTTCATTAGTTGATGCTACAATCGTGGCATCAAAAAGCTGCCTAATCATGGTGTCAATGTGGCCACGGATGACAGCCGCTGACAGGCCAGTGAGCCTACCACTCACAACATTTTAAAAGAAACTTGTGGTGAGATCAGTTCCAAAACTGGAAAACTGTACAGGGAACTTTAATTATGTCAGATGCAATACAAAATGTCGTAATGCTAAACGTGGATACATCTGTGAAAATTACTAAAGCTTATTTTTACGTGTAACCAACATCAACAGTAGCTTAATTCGATTCATAAATTATCGAAATCACTGTAAAATGCAGCAAATTGTAACCTTAATCAAGCACCTAGCTAAAAATGAACAACTGTTTTTATTTGCAAAATGTTATCAACGCGGAATACCGTTTTCGTAGTTGTTCCACTACGCTATTTCTTATATGTTCTACTTCTTGTTTGTTTTACTTCGCCAAAGAGAAAGCGGTGTAAAATGGCAATTTTACACATTTTAAGCCCTCATTACGGTCCAGATCTGCGACAGAAAACACTACTCGGGTTGTCATACCCTTTAAAGACCAGGAGTCTGCTAATATCGTGAAGACACAGTTGAAAGTTCTCAGTGTGAAGCTGCAGACCAGTGTTCAACCGGTGTTTACGAGCCGCAAGATTGCCCAGGAGTTCCCGACAAGCGAACCTAAGCCTCAGCTCATT